GGGTCAAAAACTGCTGCACATTCAGCAAGGTGTGGACAGGTGCACTCATAAACCACTCATGAAATGGGCAGAAGCGCTGAATCTTCAAAAAAAATTCACTGGAGCCAAATGCAGCCTCTCACAACAACACCAGCTGGTACACTGATACAGATGGGTTCCTAGACCTCTCACCTAGTGGGGGCAACCTGTACTACAAGGGGCAGTCTTCCAGAAGATAATTCTGGGTTTTTTGGGGTCCCCGCTTTTATCTGGGTAAAATCTAACTGGAGTTCATTTACTTTTTAAAAAGCTCAGCAGTACCTTCCTAACAGATAACAACAACAACAAAAATCTGTTAGAAACCAGGACTTAACCCTAAAAAAAAAAAAAAGAAAAAGAATTGCGAGGCTACAAAAGTCCAATAACAAAGGCCAGTAAACCTAAAAGTCTATCTAGTTAATAGTCTTTGCACCAGATGCTGGCATTAGTTCTCAAAGCCTTACCTTCTTCAATGTTTGTTAAACAATAACTTTTGAGGCTGAAAGTTTTTTCTGAAAGGGTTTTCTGGCCAAGTGCTGGCCAGAAAAGCACCAGGTCCTGGGGCATGCAGGCTAAACCACCAGCCGCAGGGCTTAACGAAGACAAAGACGCCGCCGCCGACAGAGCTCTTTTATACAGTAAGTGTAGGGAAGAAAGACAAGTTGTTTTGAAAGAATTTACATTGCCTATAGGTAAGGGGTTTGGGAGGTAAATCAAGAAGGTGCATAATCCATAAAAAAAGAAGTACTTGCTGCTTTTGCATTGGTTGTGGGCAACAGCCTAGAAAGTTCGCGTGTAAACAAGATATGGTGGCTTGTGGTGTCCTCCATTCTCTCTAGATAGTTAAAGGATGGCCTGGAAGTTGACTCAAAATTTCAACTTGCATTTAAAACCAGAGGGCAATCAAGTCCAGGGCTCATGCTGCATGTTGCAGCTCAGCCAAAAAGCAGAGATGGAGATTGGACTATACTTGTGCTTTCATTAGTATCAAAGCTAGCAGTCTGAGAAGCGGTAGGATAAAACCCTAACATCCACCTTTCCTTCAGCTTTCAGAAGGGAGTTTACGTAGGGGAAATGTGGGAATTTGGGAGGGGGAAATTCCCCCTAGGAACAGGGGGAACACAGACACGCAGACAGAGCAGGTAATGACAGGGGAGTCACACGGCTTCTTTCCAAACTGGCTCCCTTAGTTCTGGTGTCACCACTCCATTTGCATTCCTCTCTTCCCAGGTCACCCCTGGTTTATCGTCAGGGAGGCTATGTGGAGAAGAGGTGTACACCATTTGCTCTCAAGTGTCCTTGGTTAAAGAATATAAGGTCTTCAATTCACCAGCTGGCTATAAATTGCTCAAACTGTTTGACCTTGTTTCATTTTGTATGTTTCCCCCATTCCACTTGCCTAAGAATTCTAGCTTCTTACTATCCTGTCTCACATTCAGGAATATGAACAGTCATTGTTGGTTTCAGACTTCAGCTCTATTTGCTGACTATCCTCCCTTCTCCCTTTCCCATTTTCTGGCTCTGGCGATTAATGAGGACACCAAAATTTTTCTCTTGCCATGCTGCAGAGCCTGCCCCAGGTTCCCTCAGTGCTGCCTCTCTTCCAGTGACTGAACTGGGCTTCAGCCGCCATGTTTGGGATAAAATTTAACTGTCAACTACATAACTCTTACAGAGGCCAAGAACATGTAGATGGACATACTGATACGGAGAAAGCTGATCGGATCACTGGGGAGATGTAGGGAGGGCTGTAGGAGGAAGCTGTCGGAGGCCATGGTAAACAGTCAAGGATGGGATTGGCTGACAAGCTGAAAGCCTCCAGAGTGCATGGAATTATGGGCCAGATGTGAAATAAAAGGGCTCTCTTGGGGTTCTGGCTGGCTCTGTTCCTCCAAGATGCCTGGATGATCGTGCTGCAGCTGCCCGCATTTCCCGGTGGACAGTATTTTGGATGGGAAGGAACCCGGGCACAGCCTAGGATCGGGCTGGCCTGGCAGAGGGTGGCAGTGTTATTCTTTGAGTGTGTGGTCTAGAGAGGACGACCTCTGTGGCAGAAACCTGCCATTCTCCCCAAATTGTGTAGCTTTTGTATCTTATGTTGTTTTAGTTTGCAAACTAATCCTATAGAAATGAGATAATCAAAACTAACAGGGGAAATGTTAGAACTCAGGTGTTAAAGAGTTTAGCCTTAACTGATAGGCCTAAGTGACTAATGCATGTGGAAAGCTGCTGTTCCAAAACTGTGAAGCTTTTGAATCAAGACTCCTCTCCTTCCTCACCAAACCTTTGCCTCTGGGATTTCACCTACAGGGCGGTGGAGGGCAGCAGGACCCCAATGGCTGTTTGGTAACTGCCACGTCCACTGCCGCGTCCACTGTTGGATCCCTCTCTCTGTGACAAGGTCCTGAGAGGGGGTGTAAGACTTCAAGGAAGCAGTTTCCAACCTGGTGGACGTGGCATGGAAGGCCCTGCAATACCTATTGTGATTGTGCTTGCTTTGGGGATCATGACCCTTTTTGCTTTAATCATTATGAATACCCTGGCAGTGATTCAGATAGTGTGCCTAGACCTTTCCCGGCTCAATGAACAGAATAATAATATCATACTAGAACGTCAGGGAATATAGGTACAAGGAAACAATCAGAACAATCTGAGAATTCAAGCTTAATCAATAACAGATCATTGGAAAAACACCCAAGCTAAGATAGAATACTCTAGGAAATCAGGAGATGATCTCACTACTTTCTTAGAGGGAATCAAAGTACAAAACATGTCTATAAAAGAACTCCTAGAGAAATTTAAAAGAAGTACCCTTAAAAGCCCCCTGCAACATAGGAGTAGCCCCTCCTTTACCTTGAATAAGAATATATATCAACTAGACAGGCAAAGAAATAACAAAAGCTAGTTAGTTATTACAAACTAAACAGTTACTAAGGAGTCAGAATTTATAGTACACAGAAAAACATTTTAAGCAAAAAAAAGGTAGATAGCTAAGTTAGACATCACAAGGGCCTTATAATAAATTTCCTATTTTCTCTACTCAATCTAGCGTATCCTTTTGCCCTATGACAAATTCTGAGAGATTTTAATATACAATAAGATACTTCTAATTGTCTGATTAATGGCTCTCCTAGTTAAAATAATCTTTAACTAAATTTATGGGAACTTTCGTACTTTTACTGATTACCTTTGTATTGATTTTTTCTGCTTAAATGATCATGTTATACTGCAAATGTTAATCACTACCTAAAATGAAAATATAAAAACCTGCTTGTACTTGCAATAAACAGAACAGAGCTTCACTGTCCTTTGAGGCGTGATGTCGTCTGTTACCCAGCGCCGACGCCTACCCTCACCTGTGGGACCCCTTGACCCGCTGCGGTCGGACCGCGGCAGGTAACAACACTCTTTTCTTTTTAAATAAAACAATCACATGGCCAAAAACTGAAACCATATAGAAGATATAATAAAATTAAAAACTCCTGAGTTCCTTGTGTAAATTACGACTTTTCACATCTAGAATGTTTATTGCTAATGCAACAGGAATATTACACAAAATGTTTCTGATGAAAGATGAGCATTCCAGACCCTGTGTGGTTTAATCAGAAAAGGAGGCTACATTCAGACCCCAAATATAAAAACTAAAAATCTTCCTGAATTTCAACACAGAATTTAGATCTAAGTAGACTGAACTTTTAAAAATCACATTTTACACTTAAGTCGGATTTCACTTGGTTTCTATCCATAGAAAAGCAAACTGTTCAAATATTTATAAAAATAATACAAGTTGGCAGTCAACTGGAAACAACTTATTATTAAATAGATTAAGCCCTAAATCCTTCAAGTAAAAAATCTAACACACTCAGGGTTAAGATGAAATAGTAATACATGGGCATCTGTATGCCTTGACTAATAAATAAATCAACAGCCCGTGGTAAAGTTCCTTCTACTGCAGAAAGATTTCAAAATAAATGACCTGTCACTTCAATGTTGCCTGTAGGCAGATTTCCCTGGATCCTCAGATGATAAGGTCAAGACTGACAGCATTAAACTGGGAGAGGGGAGGAGCTAAAGGAAATGAAAACCTGGAAGTGACCAGGGAGTGGGAAGTAATCTAATTAATAGCAGCATTGAAAATATATAATCTTATAACAAAGCAAGTGCCAATTTGGAAAATTAATGTCTACGGGCATTTTCTTCCTCAAATAGGGTGCCAAGTGAATGTGAGAAATTAAGACTTTTTTCAATATTTCTAGGACCAAAGGCAACCACGTATCTGGAGCTACTACACTCTCCAAAACCTGAATATTAACAAGCTCTTCACACAGAAATTATCTTAATATTTTAAAAACCTGAAATAACTCTGCAACAGCCAACTAATTCAAATTCTTATTAATCAACTTCTAGTTCTTACATATTATCTATGAAAAAAGGTACATAATTATGCCCTTTTAAAAGATTTAAATAATTTATCCTTTATGCAAATGAAGCTCACAAAGTCTTAACAAGAGGCACCTGCCCAGGGCAAGCAGAAAGGCAACCAACGCTGTACTTCTGTTGCCAGTCACTCAGTTGGAAGTGTCTCTTTTCAACTGGAATGAGCTGTGCCCAAACACTGAAGACTAAACCTTGAGCTTGTAGATAAAGCCTGTGCCATTACAGGAAAAGGGACTTTAGACCTGAGGACAGTTGGCCAGACCTGTTCTTGTCTCACCTCTGCTGTGTTTGAGGAAAAGGTTCCTTTAAGGTGAGCCAAGTTTGGTGGCTCACTTAACTGGAGCTGCTCGGGGAGTCTCTGGCCAGCTTGCTGCATTCTCCTAACTCGCTTCTTATCCCAATGGCACTCTGTCCCTGTTACAGAACAGAGGTCCAAGGGGGGGCAGTTATTTGACCCACCCAGGGATGCCAAAAACTGTTACCAAACACACACACACACACACACACACACGTTTGTTATGTCTGCCGCCAGAGGAAAGACATCTCTCAATGCCAGAGATTTGTGAAAAGGAAAGGAAATGTTTATTTAAAGCTATACAGACTTAAAGTAGTGACCCAATGTTTCCACTAAAATATCAGTCCTTTTGGATACCCACAGACACCCACAATGCTCCCTTACCCGCTGCCCTAATTCAGGGTACCGTAACTCTGGAAAAGCAAATGTCCATGTTTCAGGTCGCTGGCACTGTCGGCTGTGTTGCTGTCCAGGCAGGATCTCTAATTAATCCAAAGACATGTGGCACCTTCTCATGGCCTACTGGCAAGAGTTCTTCCACCCTTCTTCCAGGCAAAGTCTCTCCTACTTCCCAGGCCACGCTACCAAAGGGAGCACCCCAAGGCCTTGTGGTCCTCTTCTACCAAAGCTGCAGGGGTCCCCACTCTGGCCAAAACCGCATGGTTCTTCTCTCTACCAGAGCTGTGGGGAGGGGGTGTCACCACTCTGCCAAAGCCGAGTGGCAGTTCTCTGCTAAAGCCACATGGTGAGTCTCTCTACCCCAGCTGCGGGGGGTCCCCACTCTGGCCAAAAGCATGTGACTCTCTGCACTGCCACAGCCGCATGATCCTCTCTCTCTCACATGGATGCAGGAGTCCGCACTCTGGCAAAGCCACATGGTACTCTCCCACATGGCTGCTGGGGTTCCCACTCCGCCAGAAGCACATGGCTCTCTCCTTCTCACATGGCTGCGGGGCCGGGGTCTTCACTCTGCCAATGCCGCGTGGCTCTCTCTCACATGGCTGCTGAGTCTGGGTTTAAATCCCTCACGCTAACCCTCCTCTGCAGCCCCATTTCTGGCTCCTCCCACAATCGCTACACTTGCCAGCACTCCCATATCCTTCCAGCTTTACTGGGCTGCCAATGTGAGTCTGGACAGCCATGGCTCCATGTCGTGGAACCAGTCTTGTCCAAGCTCTCACACGGGCACTGTAACTCAGTGAACCTGCCCCCCGGTTACATTTGGGTGGAAGTTACTTCCATCCCCCTGGTTCAAAGCATGGCCACAGCTATTTAACATATCCATGAAACCAGTTAAAGGTTATAGATATGTCAAATGACCCTGCCAGAGGTTAGCTGCAAAGCTGTTGCTGTACAAAACAGCTCTCAATGGCCCTGCTCCATTCGTCCCTTCCCCCAACTCACACCTGTTGGGGGGGGGGGGTGAGGACATCCTAGTATTTTCTGGACACCATGAGTTCTGGGCCCCATTCCAAATCTCTATCTGGGGTCCCCCTCTTGGCTGCACCCTGTCACACCGCTGCTTGGAAAGTTCCTAGGGAAGGAGATGAAACTAATTAGTAGGACACAGCCCATCAAAGGCAATGCAAGTATGTCACTAGCTGTGTATAAAAGACTCCCCCACAGTTGTGGCAAAGGCTGGAGAAGAAATATTTTTACCGCAGAGGACTCCACAGCCATTGTCCTCTTTGACTCTGTCCTCCTTTAGCTCTGCCCTGACAACCTCAGCCTGTCTTCACTGTGTTTCTTCTCCTGGGGGCTAAGTATTTCTTTTTAGCTTATTTTTTGAGAAAGTCTTATTTTTTATGATTTACCCAACTAATCATGAAATCAGGTCTGTTGGGGGAGAGGGTGAAACTAAACAATCTTCCATGTCTGAAAAACGGCTGCTGGGCCTTTCAACTCTGTGAGATGCTCAGGCCAGCTGCACCCTCCTATGCTGAGTCCTCTTCATCCATTGTCACATCATGGTTGGTGTGCTGCTGCTGCTCCTCGTCCGGCCCTGCAGGCAGGATGCTTGTTACGGTGTGCAGGAGCGCCTCGATCTGCTCCTCTGTGAGCCGTTCTTCACTCTCTTCCACCATCTGCCGGAGGGAAGAGAAGCCTCCAGGGGTTACAAATGAGCCTCCCAGGCTGGGCCACCCCTTGTTGGTCCCAATCCCAGCCCAGCCTCTTAGCACAGAGCTCAGGGCATGGTTCCTGAGCCACGTCGAGTCACTAGGTCCTCCCCATCTTTGCTTCACAAGAGGGAGTAGCTAGCTGAAATTTCAGGATAAGTGAAGTTTGCAACTGCTCAAAATAGGTCAGGGAAAAGAGAGTTGCAGGTTAGCATTTTTCTTTAAAGAAAAAGAACACCCTACCAGTTCTATACCTTTATACACATGTGAATATGTTGTATATGCAAAGAAAACACCTCTGGGGAGTGAAATGATGCTCTATAAATTGTGTATTTCACAACAAGTTCATCTGTAACTTATAAACTATATCAACAACTCATCTGATGACTGCCCACTATGTGCCAAGTGGCTTTTGTATTTTTTCCAATCCTCATTAACCCCACCACTAACAGCTCTTTAGGGAGCTTACATGCCTGGTACTGCGCCTTACACTTCATATCCACTATTTCTTTTATCCTCACAACAACCCTGGCAAAGGGGCAAAACTAGAATTCCAAGTCAGGCCGACCCAACTCTAACACACACCACTTGGCCTTAGTCGCCTCCTGAGAACGCAGAACAGAAGTCGTGAGTGACAGCTGGAAAGCAATCACACTTGCCTCATCAAAGGTCTCCTTAAAGCCTGGTTTTCAACATGGTCCTGGGAATCCAAACACACAGCGACAGCCACAACCACAAGCCAGTTTTCTAAGCTTCACCTCTAATTCTCAGTATGTTAGTGAACACAAATACATCAGCCCTCCTTTCGGAAGTACACAGGCAGCCAAGCTGTTTAATCAGATTCACTTCTGGTGTGCGCTATTACAAACAGCCTTTCCAGCTACAGGTGTCAAGTGTCCTATTCTATGACACTTCCCACAGCAACCTCTGACATCTGGCAACTAACACCAAAAGGAATTCTGGAAAGAAATATGGGCAGATTTTAAAAGTAAAAAAAATAAATAAATAAATAGTAAATAATTTTAAAAAGAGGACTTCCGCCAAGATGGAGGCATAGGTGGAAACACTGTGCCTTCCTGCACAACCAAGTTTAAAGACAATGAAATTTTAGTAACAAAAAATGCAGTCAAAACACAGAAAATTGAACTACACAGAAGTCCAACAACAAGGAACTGGTCAGCCAGACTGGTAAGAGGGGCGGAGCCAGCGACTGGCAGAGTGGGGTTGTGCAGGAAAACTTGGTCAGACTGACCCAGGCGACCCAGGCACCGGGCAGCAGTTGGCGGATCCCAGGTGGGGTTACGAGGGGCAGACTCAGTGAGGGCACAAGGCGGCTGGCTGACCGCAGTCACACATTCATGAGCAGATATAAACCAGCCAGTGAAGGAGCCAGCAGTGAGACAGACCTTGCAGGCCCCAGGGGCGGGAAGCAACAGAGGAGACCACCATCGTCCCTCTCTGACCCCGCCCCCACATACAGCGTCACAACCCAACAACCTGGGTGGCCCCACCCTGGTGAACACCTAAGGCTCCGCCCCTCATACATAACAGGCGTGAACAGACCGAAACATGGCTCAAGAAGAACTGAAAGTCCCAGAGCCCATAACTCTAAGCGAACGAACAAGAAATTGCCAACCTATCAGATGCACAATTCAAAACACTGGTGATCAGGATGCTCACAGAACTGGTTGATTTTAGCCACAAATTAGAGGAACATATGAAGGCTAAACTAATTGAAATGAAGAAAAATGCACGGGAAACCAATAGCGATGGAAAGGAAACTGGGACTCAAATCAAGGGAGTGGACCAGAAGGAAGAAAAAAATAACCAAACTGAAAAATATGAAGAAATAAGAATTCAAAAAATGAGGAGAAACTTAGAAACCTCCAGGCCATCTTTAGACGCTCCAACATCCGAATTATAGGGGGTACCAGAAGGGGAAGAGAAACAGCCACGAGTGGAAAACTTATTTGAACAAATAATAAAGGAGAACTTCCCCAATCTGGTAAAGGACATAGACTTCCAGGAAATCCGGGAAGCTCAGAGAGTCCCAAAGAAGTTGGACCCAAGAAGAAACACACCAAGGCACATCATCATTACATTACCCAAGATTAAAATGAAGGAGAGAATTCTAGAAGTAGCAAGAGATAAGGAGACAGTTACCCACATGGGAGTTCCCATCAGACCTTCAGCTGATTTCTCAATAGAGACCTTACAGGCAAGAAGGGGCTGGAAAGAAATATTCCAAGTCATGAAATCCAAAGACCTACAACCAAGATTGCTCTATCCAGCAAAGCTTTCATTTAGAATGGAAGGGCAGATAAAGTGCTTCTCAGATAAGATCAGATTCAAGGAGTTCATCATCACCAAGTCCTTGTTATATGAAATGTTAAAGGGACTTATCTACAAAAAAGAAAATAAAAAATATGAACAGTGACAGGACAGCAAGCTCACAGTTATTAACAACCACACCTAAAACAAAAGCAAACTAAGAGGACAGCTAGAGCAGGGGAGGAACCATAGAAATGGAGATCTCATGGAGGGTTAGCAACAGGAGAGTGGGAGGAGGAGAAGGGGAAAGAAGGTACAGAAAATAAGTAGCATAGACGGTAGGTAGAAAATAGATAGGGGGGAGGGTAAGAATAGTATGGGAAATACAGAATCTAAAGAACTTGAGACACATGGTCATAAACTAAAGGGGGGAATGGTAGAGGAGGAGGGTGCTGGGTGGAGGGGAATGAAGGGGGGAATAGAACAACTGTAATAGCATAATCAATAAAATTTAAAAAATAGAAAGAAATATGGGCAAATTTAAGTGAAGAAAGATGACAAGCTAGGCTTAAAAATCCTGAAATCAGTCTACTGCCTCTCTTTACAAATAACAGTATAGAAACTAAAGAAGTCAGATGACACATCAAAGATCACACTGCAAACTGGGGACGAAACACTGGTCTCTTCATTTGTCAGCACAAAAATGTTCCCACAACTAGAGGGTAATCCTGGGTGTTCCTGGGTGAGGAAGATCCTGAGTGAACCAATGAAGCTACTTCCCATCATGCTGTGAAATCAAATGTCCATTTTCTAAAGATTCAAAGGCTCAATAAAGTGTAACTTCTCTATTGAAGAAGAAGAAGTCCCTCAAAGCCCATTTTAAAACAGGACATGCAAAATCAGGGCCTGTAAAAGGCAATGATCTAACACAGACTCCCTCCCAAGAATGAAGGAGGAAGAAGGGTGTAACCAATCTGATTTGACCCTGAGAAAGGATGACCTCCATTTGAGAGAAGAATGTCTCCCAGTTCAGGAATAACTGGCGTATGCAGTTGCTGACGAACTGTTTCCTGTCTCAGGAAAGAGGGTGAAGAAGATCTGAACTACTGTTACAGCAGGGACGACCTCCCACCAGGATTTGTACAGTGCTCCACAGTTTACGGGGGGCTTTCCTGGAATCGCTGCCACCAGGGCTTCTCCAGAATGCTGCCCACAAAGTCGAGATGGACGACGTACAGATAAGTGGAGGCTCAGCGTTATAAGGAAACTCAATCTGGGTCCCAGAGCAAGCAGGGGCAAGGTCTCTCAACTGTGCGTCCCAGCTCTTCTAGAACACCATGCCGTCCACCACAGGGAGGTTTCTGTCTCTTCCTCTCTCTGAGAGGCACAGGGCAGACTGAATCCACTGGTTTAAAAGAGCTGGGTTACATGACCTCCAAGAGGCCTTTCTTTGTAGAAAAACACATGGAGAGAGCTTCAACGGGCCACCTTCTTGCCTTCCAATCTCTGAGTGTGGCAGATACAACACTGAGATGAGGTGTTAGCAAGCTGTGTTCTCGGCAGAGGGCTGAAGAGCTTTCCATTTTGCCAAATTCTCCAAGAGCAGCTTTGATTAGCACACAACCCTCAGGGATAATTACAGTCAAGAACTTTTCAACCCAAGATTCCCAGTCACAGAAAGAAAACCCAAGCTACATAAGCAAAATGAAATATACACAAAAAGAAACTCAGAAATCAAAAACGTACTAACCCATCTTAGATCACTATGGTAATCAAGAATAACGATATTATTCACCTTTTCTTCCCAATACATAAGAAACAGAGCCAAAATAAAGAAGCGCAAAGCACCATCTCAACATTCTGATACCAAAGGTTTCGAGTTTTTCAGAATATAAAGGCAAATGAAATTTAAAAATCCAAAGTATTTGCTGATGGGTCACCATAAATGATAAATGTTTCTAATTATCTATGAAGATTACATCGATCTTTGACCAGGGGCTGTCAAACTCAGCAGATGAACTACAAAAATGGTTGCTTCTCATTTTAAGCTGCCAGGCCTAACCTCCTACTTTCCTCAAATATCTCCAAATCTAACAGTCACTGACACTTTCAGCTCTCTGACCAAGAGCAGTTCACTTAACCTCTGCAAATTTCAATTTTCCATAACATAAAATGAAAGTAATGTATGGTCAGGACCAACTGAAAACACCCATTACAGTGTTTTGTAAGTTATAAAACTATGTAATTCAAAACATTTTAATCACTAAATTATAAAAGGCATAGACAGTAGTGCTATTCAGCAGAGTGGCCTGTGAGGCCATGGGGTTCACTGTCCTGTCTTCAGACCAGAAGGCTCTAGAAGGGATGGGCAGAAGCTGGGGGGCTTCCTCACTCTGCCCAGACGGCAGGCTGCGGGTCTGAGGATCACAACAAATCATGGCTGAGGTGTAGCTGAGAAAGAGCCGCTTCAGCCTCAAAAACTGAACACTAACAAATGGTATTAGATGCAGGGGTTACTTCTGGACCTGGGGGCATAAACAGTTGTGAGGTTAACATGGGGAAATTCTCAAGTACTTTGTAGTTTCCGCTCTATGTGAAAACCTAATTTTTTATCCCACTCTGGTGAGAAGAGATGTTGCTACAAACTTTGGTAAATAATTGGTTATCTTTTATTGCCAAATACTAGGCTGGGAAAAACCTAGCTATGAAATGGTCCAACTACTGGGAAACAACATACACAATTTTTACCAAGGAAAGGAAAAGAGAATGAAGAGTCCGAGGGTAACCACACACATCTCTCTGCAACAGCACATGGTTTGGAGGGACACAGTGAAACTTCCGAATCACACAGACCCAAACCAGCCACTCACTAGCCAAGACTATGTGAGGCCATCAAGGTGACACATACAAAGTCCCAGCACCACATCTGGCACACAGTAGGCATTCTTAACAGCAGCTAATCTTACCAAGTACCCAAAAAGCTTTCTACAGGCTCTGGGATGAGGTCGCACTAAACTTCCCCATCTCTTTTCCATCTGTCACAAAGCCATGAATAACATATGTTGCTGATTAAAGTTGTAGGAGGCAGGACATGGGATCTTCAACCCAGAGGGAAAGGGATTAGTTTCTTGCTGTTTTGTTTGTTTTTTCTCTTCTCTAAGTTGAGTCTCCAATACAATCAAAAGCATAAGAATAAAGAGGGTCCCAAAAAGAATCTTTATGTGTCCTAAAGGCCAGTTACCCAGAAAGGCATTGTTTGTGGAAGAAATTTTTCTAACTTAATTTTGATTACATTTTGAAGAGCAGAAACAAAATCACAAAGACAATACAGTTTAGTCAGAAATTAAAAGCCCCATGACCCTTTAAAGGTTTTTTGTTTGTTGGTTGGTTGGTTGGTTGGTTTGTTTTTAAACAACTCTAAAGATCACAGATATTTTGGGCCATTTTCTTCCACACTTTTCTGAAGGAAATTTGACAAAATTTCCTGACTTTAGAAACAATTTTATTCTTATTTTATTAATTCTCCAGCCAAAGCTGTTGGTTATTACTTTTAGAGAGAGGGGAAGGGAGGGAGAAAGAAACATCAGTGTGCAAGAGATACATCGATTGTCACCCCTCGCATTCCCCCAACTGGGGACCTGACCCACAACCCAGGCATGTGCCCTGACCAGAGACTGAACTGGTGATCCCTCGGTTTGCAGGCAGGCACTCAGTCCACTGAGCCACACCAGCCATGGTAGCCAAAGTTTTTTATTGGCAGTTAAATGGCCTGCCGAATGTCTGTAGCTTAATCATGCTCTTTGCTCTGTACAACCGAAGGGGACTGCCGCAGCATGCCCACGCAGCAACCGCTCGGTCTGTACCACGGGACCTCACTTCACATTCTCCTTATATCATCTCAACTCTCTCCTCCACCTGCCTCCCACAATTCTGAAGCTTTATGCTGTGACTGCAATTCAGACTGTCCAAGTGATGGGGTGCCTCTGAATGGTTTTACCCAGGGAAATAAACAAATGTGTGGTTTTAGAAAGTGAACTCTAATAGTGGTATAGATGACGGACTGGAGGAATGCGGGCTGGAGGCGCGGAGAACGATGAGAGGATAACTGCACGGGCGGGGGTAAAGAGCAATGATGGGAGTGATGCAGTGCCAAGGGGAAGGAAGACTAAGAGGAGACAGGAGCGCCGGAGCCTAGGGACTAACCGCATATGATGCAGAAGGAAGAGAATGACTCCCAGGTTCCTGGCTTAGGAGACTGGGCCAGGAGCGTGAAGGAGAAAGAACACGGAGGAAAGTGCACATGTGCTCCATTAACATCAACACAACAAAATTCCAGAAGAGTAGGTCAAAGGGTAGGAGTGAGGGGAGATGAATTCCACCAAAGTCATGTTGAATGTAATGTTTTTAAGCAACATCTGGGTTGGCAATAACCCTACAGGGAAGCAATGGCCAGGATTGTGTAGGACATCAGGCAAGACAAAGAGCCACCAAACCGTAGGCCTAAACCTTTTGGAAGGAATTAAATTTCCTCCAGTCTTCTACTTGACCTAAGTCCATACTAACTGGGTCACACTGGTGAGGCTTCCTTTCACTGACGAAATGGAGTGATCTGACAGTCTTTTCAAGGTATGTCGGTCCCTGGCTGGTCTGTGTCAGTCTGTACACCGCCCTTTCCGCATGTCAAACCCAGACACCCCCCCCCACACACACACACACACACCAAGTCCAGGCCTCCTTCACTTACCAGCTGGATCTCAACAGCAGTCATAGGCCTGTGATTCAGCAGCTGAAGTTTTTCAGCTCTGTCAAAGAAAAAAAAGTACAAAGCACTTAAAACTCTCACACCCCTAAGGATCCTGATTCTTTACCAAGATGTTTACAGTTTGTCATGTAGGAAGACAGCCTATGAGGGGGGATCCAAAAGCACCCTCCATTTTTATCTGAGGTGCAAAGGCAGAAGAAAAAGGGGTCTGTGCTTTGACATAGAGGAGATTTCAGAGAATCCTTAGAAAGACTAGTTAAACAATGACAAACGGCGAGAAGTGCAAGGAGAAAAGAAAATCCGTCTTTAACGGGCTTTCTGTCCTGTACCATGGATTCAATGGAGACTGGGGAGATGGAATGGAAGACTAGGGTTGAGGGTAAGATGTGGGGCCAAAGATGGAAAGGAAAAGGCAGACAACTAATATGTTTTGTTTAAAACAAGTGATATAAATCAAATACTTAAAGGAGATTAATAAAAACCAATCAGAATAATTTGGCAACTTTAACTCTTAGGAAGATCAAAGTTCCTTCCAACCCTGATCTGATGTCTTACTACTAAAAGCAAAGGCCAGTAGGATAGAGCATTACTCCAGAGGAACTGAAGGAAGATCCTCAGGGCTGCTTCCTCCCCATTCACATTATGAATGTGTACTTGTCCTACCTCAAAATGCTCTGAAGTACTACCATTATATGGTTCCTTATTAAGTTTGAGAAGTGCCTGAAAGTTTGGGCACCTGAAGACACCCAACAACATATGTCTAAACTGCAATAAAGAGCAAACTGAGAGTGACCAGAGGGGAGGAGGTAATGGAGGAAAGAAGGGGAAGGGTCAGGTCAAAGAACACGTATAGAGGACCCGTGGACAAAGACAATGGGTGGGGGTAGGGGTTGGGAGGGAGGACTGAATGTGAAAGGTGGGGGGTGGGCAGGGCAGGGGAGAGTAATGGGGGGAAAATGGGAACAACTCTAATTGAACAATAAACAATTTTTTTAAACAAACTGCAATTTCAGGTTAATATGACTGAAGCAGTTACATTGTGAGACATGAAGTTACAGGATGTCTTTCCTGGCACAGAGGTGGCCTTGGTTCCTTACCACATAGTGTAGCCACCGTCTAGGCTGCCCATGAAGAAGTTTTCCTTCCACCGAGTTCCAAGGACAACAGCTCCCTGCATGACTGCAAGCTGAGCAGCACTGGGAGGGCATCCTGGTGGAGGTGGAAGGAGTGCAGCAGCCCCAGCTCCAAATCGGGCCCCGCGTCATACTCTCCCTCCACCAGCACTGTTGAACCAGGTGGGTGGATGGAAACAAGCAGATAATAAATCATGGGGATTGTGAAACCTAAAGAGCCAAAAGCCACAGACTGGGCCAGGGGGAGATACCGTGACATGCCAGGTAAAAGAGCTGACTGTGCAAGAAAAGGAAATAAAAGGCATCCAAATAGGAAAGGAGGAAACAAAACTGTCACTGTTTGCAGATGACATGATAGTGTACATGGAAAATCCTATAGACTCTACCCAAAAACTCCTCAAACTAATTGATGAGTTTGGCAAAACAGCTGGTTATAAAGTCAATATCCAGAAATCAAAGGCATTTTTGTATACCAACAGTGAATCAGCAGAAGCAGAAATAAAGAGAAAAATCCCATTTGATATAGCAAAAAGAAAAATAAAATATCTGGGAATAAACCTAACCAAGGAGGTAAAAAACCTGTATGCAGAAAACTACACAGCCCTGAAGAACGAAATCAAGGAAGACACAAACAAATGGAAACATATACCTTGTTCATGGATTGGAAGAATTAACATTATCAAAATGTCCATACTACCCAAAGCAATATACAGATTCAATGCAATACCTATTAAAGTACCAATGGCATATTTCACAGACATAGAACAAACACTTCAAAAATTTATATGGAACCATAAACGAGCTCGAATAGCAGCTGCTCTTTTGAGAAAGAAGAACAAAGTAGGGGGGATCACAATACCTGATATCAAACTGTATTACAAGGTCACTGTAATCAAAATAGCCTGGTACTGGCATAAAAACAGGCACATAGACCAATGGAACAGAACAGAGAGCCCAGAAATCAACCCAACTCTCTACAGTCAATTAATATTCGACAAAGGGGGCAGTAACATAAAATGGAGTAAAGATAGCCTCTTCAACAAATGGTGTTGGGAGAACTGGACAGCTACATGCAAAAAAATGAAACTTGAGCACAGACTTACACCATACACCAAAATAAATTCAAGGTGGATAAAAGACTTAAATGTAAGTCATAACACCATTAAAGTCCTAGAGGAGAACATTGGCAAGAAAATCTCAGATATTTCACGCAGCAACTTCTTTACTGATATGTCCCCTAGAGCAAGGAATGTAAAGGAAAGAATAAACAAATGGGATCTCATCAAAATAAAAAGCTTCTGCATGGCTAAAGAAAACAGTATTAAATTAGCAAGACAACCAACTGTATGGGAAAACATATTTGCCAATGATACCTCAGACAAAGGTTTAATCTCTAACATATACAAAGAACTTACACGACTCCACTCTAAGAAGACGCCCAACCCAATTAGAAAATGGGAAAAGGACTTGAACAAACACTTCTCCAAGGAGGACATACAGAACATTCAGAGACACATGAAGAGATGCTCAATATCGTTAGCTATCAGAGAGATGCAAATTAAAACCACAATGAGATACCACTTTACACCAGTCAGGATGGCTATCATAAACAAAGCAACAAACAACAAATGTTGGAGGGGTTGTGGGGAAACGGGGTCCTTAGTTCACTGTTGGTGGGAGTGTAGACTGGTACAACCATTATGGAAAACAGTATGGATTTTTCTCAGAAAAATAAAAATCGACCTGCCTTTTGACCCAGCAATTCCACTGCTAGGATTATACCCTAAGAATCCTAAAACATCAATATCAAAGAACCTATGCACCACAATGTTCATAGCAGCACAATTTACAATAGCCAAGAGTTGGAAGCAACCTAGGTGCCCATCAGTAAATGAATGGATCCAAAAATTGTGGTACATATACACAATGGAATTCTATGCTGCAGAGAGAAAGAAGGAGCTACTACCCTTTGCAACAACATGGATGGAACTGGAAAGCATTATGCTGAGTGAAATAGGCCAGGTGCTGAAAGACAAATACCATATGATCTCACCTTTAACAGGAAGCTAAACAACAAAACAAACAAGTAAGCAGAAAAAAAAACCCAAAAAACAAAGACACTGAAATAGAGAACAAGGGGATAGTGACCAGAGGGGAGAAGGAAGGGAAGTTAAGGGGAAAAAGGGGGAGGGATTTGGAGGAACAAGTAGGAAGGACACAGGGACGAGAACTAAGGGGGGGGGAGGAAATGGGAGGCAGGTGGGGAGCAAGGGGCAGGGGAGGCTGGGATGGGAAAAATAGACAAAAAACTGTACTTGAAAAATAACTAAATAAAATAAAATAAAAAAAAGAGATAAAAAAAAAAAAAAAAGAGCTGACTGTGGCAGGCCACGGGCACACAAAGTTCAGATGATAAAGTCGTGAGTACGCAGGTGGAGCATCAGGGTAGAGTGTGAGGAAGAAGCAGGGTCTGAGGGGACACTGAATTCCCGGAAGGCTATGCAGGTAGGCTGGCTGTGTTGGATAATGACCATTGCTGTCGATGGTAGCTGCGGGTCCGGTTTAGCTCAGTGTCGCACAAAAGGGCAGGTTCTGGAAGGAGACTGGAGCATGTTTACCAACTAAGGAGACAAGCACATGGAGAGGCTGAATTATCTAAGGGAAAAACCCTTACAAAAACAGAAGTCTAAAGTCTCAGTGGAGGGGATTCATGCTCTACTGAGACCACAGCAAAGCGGAAAGAAAAAGCAAATTTGAGGCGACATGAGGGAACTGAGTCCATTTTAGGCAGTTTTTTCAGAGAAGCAGAAGTAAAGTCACCATCTGCAATGTGTGGGTGTGAAGAGGGTGAACAGGACCACAAGCTGCAGAAACCAGGTGAAGGGACTAGCGATTGTCATCAAGTGGTTTTGAAGGCCCAACTGAGGCAGAAAACATGAATCCTCACTCAAAACAAAAGTATTTTAACCACCATCATCCAACAATATAAATAAAGGACTGAGAAAGAGCAGGAATAGAGAAAAGATATAGCTGAATAAATGGATATCTTGGCTACAAATCAATTAAACCAAGGGAACTTTGTCAAACAGTCATTTTTCTGCCAGGCTCTGAACTGCCGCAACTGTTCCCAGTTACAAAAAGGATCTTGTAAGACTTCGAGCAGCAAATACATTCTCAGCTGCTCCCTGAAAGACACAACGTGGAATCAAACCAACTAAGCAAGTCCTCTGCTCCTACCCAGGATGCTAAGCACTCAGGTAAAATGGTACAGCCACACGTACCGTAGGCTCGCCTTTTTGGGGGGCTTGGGTGGGCTGACTTCATAGCCAAGCCTGTTTTTATTGTCTCTACGTTCTTCCCTTCACCTCCCAACTCAATGCACTTTTAGCTCCTGTCCCGGATGATCCCCAAAACTGTTTCGCTAAAGGGCCCGGTGACCTCCACGTTGACAATGCTAGTGGATGCTTCTCTGTCCTGCTCTGTCCTGTCGGCGTATCTAGTAGTGCTGATCACTCCCTCCTTACCTATTCTTGTGGCTTCCACAAGACCATTACTTCCCAATTCTCTTATCTTTCTGACTATTCCTCTTTCACCTCTTTCTAGGTTTTCTTTTTTCCTGCTTGCCTCTGTAGCATTTCCATGGTGCCACCTTTCATCCTCATTCAAAACTTGCAATTTTATCTGCTACTGTGAGTTTTAATGAAGAATCCATGTTTTCATGCTGAGTTGCGCTCCAGACCTCTGTAACCAAATGCCATCTAGACAGCACCGACACAAGTGACAAACCACACATCCCAAAGCACTCTGACTACACCTCCCAACAAACCACTCTTCTCTGTAGTTCTCACCTTATTAAGAGCCAGACACTCGGGCCAGAAACCTGAGGGCCGTCTTCGACTCTTCCCTC